GCTACCTGGCTTCCTACTCACATATTCACACACATATGTTTATTCTCTCTCTCTGGCACCAATATAATTATGATAGTTTAAAATATGTTGACAACCATTTTTTAAAACTATTATAAAGAAATGATAATATATAAATTCTGTTCACAGCTGAGACATATAAAGTATTTATAATTACTTTTTTCAACTTTTTATTCCTTATAAATAATAATTGCCTTCTTTTCACTTTTTAATTTCACTTTCTAATGCCTATCACTAATACATATCAACCTCTCCATCATAGCTGAAATTTATCAATAAGATTTAATAATACTTTTAGTATTTTTAATAAATTTTATTCATTTTTTCTTGAAGGCTACAGTGCTCTCTCAGTCATTGTCCTCCTGAATATGAACAATATTCTGATTTCTACCACTATAAATTGGTTTTGCCTATTTTTTAAAAGCTGAATCTATTATTAAATGGAATTATACATATGTATTGTATTGGCCTTGCTTCTTTTACTCAACACTATGTCTATGGTATTCATCTTTGTTTTGGGGTGTAGCAATAGTTCATTCTTTCTCATTGCTTTAGAGTTGTGGTAGGCACAAAACATCCATGCCCTGACTCCTGGAACGTGTGGATATGTGCACAGTGGAGACATTCACAACAGGGGTGGATACGATCTAACTTACGAGCCTTGAAAGCAGAGCTCCTACTCCGGCAACAAGCAAGGGAGACCCAGCAGAGGAGAAGTTGGAGGTTTTGAAGCATGGCAGGGATTCAGTGTGTTATTTCTGGGTCTCCTATATAAAGACTCACGTGCAAGGACTGGAGAGAGGTCTCTAGTATCTAAGGACAGCCCCAGGTTGATAGCCAGCAAAGAAAAGAGTCTTAATCCCATACCCCCGAGAAACTAGATTCTGGCAAGAACCTGAATGAGCTTGGAAGGGCGTGTTTCCAGGAGCCTCCCAGTAAGGGCCCAGCCAGATGACACCTTCACTTCACTTTGTGCCCTGGATCACACAAATAAGTTGAACCAAAGTGGACTTCTGACCTGTAGGAATTACCAGATAACAAATTTGCACTGTTTTAAACTGCTAAGTTTGTGGTAATTTGTATGGCAGCAACAGAAAACTAATACAGGACTGTTCCATTGTGTTACCATAACACAACTTTTTTTAAAAAAAAATCTATTTTACCATCAATAGATTTGGATTGCTTCCATTTGAGAGTTACTATAATTAATGATGCTGTGAACATTCTTGTATATGTCTCTTGGCAAATGTATGTACATATTTCTTTTCATAGATACTCATGAGTGGAATTGGTAGATCATATTTTATGAATATGTTCAGCATTAGTAGAATGTTGGCAAACATCTTATCAAAGTGGCGGTGCTATGCACACGCCTGCCCCTGGTCTGTGAGAGTCCTAATTGCTCCACATCCTTGCTGACATTTTGGTGGACATTTCTTGATGGAAAATTTGTAGTGCTAAAGAAGAAATAGTTGGCTATTTTTGTAAATGTTTATTACTCATAGTGTTTTGATTTGCATTTCTCTGATGACTAATGATTTTGAGAATATGTTCGTATGCTTATTAGATGCTTGGATATTTTCTTTGAAGAATACCTGCTTAACAGTTTGTCAAGCTACTTGATTGGCTTGCCACACTTCCATAAAACCAGTTGGTAAGGAAACAGTAAGCCCAAGTGGATTTGTACAGTTTATTACTCACAGCACAGAAGGCTTCCTAAGCTTCTGTTCACATCTATTCGCGACAGTTCGCCATCCCCATATGTCCCGTGGGGTCCAAGGTGGGCCCAGGTGCTTGCTAGCTTTGTGGCGTAGGTCCGTGCCTCAGCTGAGGGATGCTGCCCTTAGGGACTTCCCAGTCATTTAAGGGGCTGCTGGCAGACCTGCCCTTTCTTTATATCTGAAGAAGAGTTAATAAAAATATGTAACCAAATCTTCTCCCAGAAGAGGAGGGAAGGTAAACAAATTTTCCATTTCTAATTATTCTACTCTATCTTGAAAAGTAAATAAATTTTCTTTGTTACCCAAAAATTAACTCTAGCTTCCAAGGCTGTTTGCTACACAAATATAGTCTAATATAGATATAAAATATATGGGTATAAACATATACATGTATATATTTATTATAGTTCTATGTATGCCTATGTATATACAAACATATATTACATAAATATACATGTATCAGCCTATCATTTGTACATATATAATTTTTAATAATATAATTTTTATACTATTTGCTGTATAAACATCTTTGAAAAGACAATCTGATATAGTCAGATGCTGCATAACAAATAATGTTTCAATCAACAACAGACCACATATATGACAGTGGTTTCATAAGATTGTAATAGCATATTTTTTCCGTGCATTTTCTATGTTTAGATACCCAAATACTCACCATCGTGTTACAATTTTCTGCAGTATTCAGTACAGTAACATGCTGTACAGGTTTGTAGCCTAGGAGCAATAGTCTATACCATACAGCCTAGGTGCATACTAGGCTGTACCACCTAGGTTTGTGTAAGTACACTCTATGATGTTCACACAAAATGCCTAAAGATGCATTTTTCAGACCATATCTCCATTAAAGATGCATGACTGTGTATATCAGAATATATATATGTATATGTATGTCATGAAGAATTGTCTCCCAATAGACTTTTCCCTGTTTTTCTGTGTTATCTGCCTTTTTCTCATTAATTTTGAGAAATACACACACACACACATACATACACATAAACACATAGCTTTTCAAATATTTCTTCTTTAACATAGTAAATTTTCCTCAAAGCATTGCTTTTGCTGCATACCATGATTTTTATTATGTCTTATGTTTCATATCATTCAGTTTCAAAATATTTTCTAATTTCCATTGTAACTTTTTCTTTTATTTTGATTTGTTTAAAATTGTGTTGATTATTATACATACATTTGGAGATTTCTAGTTTTTGTAATTGGTTTCTGGTTTAATTTTATTGTGGTCGGAGAACATACTTGCGAGAAAAGTTTAATGGTTTGAATTTTGTTATGACTTGCTGTAAGACCCAACATGAGATTGCTCTATTTTGATAAATGTTTCATGGGCACGGGAAAAGAATGTGTGTTCTTCAGTGACTCATTATACTACTCTGTGTACATAAATGGTCAAGTTGGTTATTTTTCTTTAAACTTCTGTATTCTTATGATTCTTTTCCTGCTTATTCTATCAGTACTATGAACTAAAAGAAAATTTTAAAGCTCCCCCCGCCCCACCAGCTGACTAAATGGACCCCCTCGTGGCCAAAGGAATATCCTAAAACTAAATTGCCTGCCAGGAGGAAGGTCAGTCATGCCTTATAAGGCCTGCTGCCTTCTTGGGGACATCCTTTGTAACCCATTAACAGGCCTAAGGGTATGCAAGACAAACCTGCAGGTCCTCAATTTACACAACAAATCTATGTCCCTTCGCTTATCTCTGATAAAGAGCTCCTTATGTTGAAACATTCCAAGCCTTTAGACAAAGCTTCATGTCTTTAACCAATTACAAGCCAAAGAATCTTTAAACCCACCTATAACCTGTAAGCACCCCTGCTTCGAGATGGCCCACCTTTTCGGGCCAAACTGATGTATGCCTCCCACGTATTGATTTATGACTTTACCTGTAACCCCTGTCTCCCTGAAATGTATAAAACCAAGCTGTAACCCAGCCACACCGAGTCCACTGCTCAAGGCCTCTTGGGTGTGGCTCCGGGTCATGGTCCTCAAATTTGGCTCAGAGTAAATCTCTTTATAATTATTTTACAGAGTTTGGTCTCTTTTTCCATTGACAGTACCAAGAGAGATAAGTTAAAAATACATTTGTCTATTTCTTCTTTTAACTCTGTCAGTTTTTGCTTTATGTATTTGACTATGTTATTCAGTGAGTAGAAATTTAGAGCTGCTATCCTTATGGTGAATTGATCCTTTTATTAATTGTTCCTTTTTATCTCCAGAAATGTAGACTTAAAGTCTCCTTTGTCTGATACTAGAATGGTTATGTTAGCTTCCTCTTGAGTGGTGGTTGCATGATATTATCTTTCTCCATTCAACTACCTTCAATTTTTGTGTCATCTAATCATTTACCATGACTATATTGATAATATATTTTTACTCTAAGTTTAGGTCAGTGTATAATTCATGTTAGTTAACACAGTGCTTATTGAATATAGAACAAAATATAATCCTATTTTTCCTTTAATTGTAAAATATGAACTAGAAAACAAAACTGTGAGAATATTGCACATTCTAAAACAATATTTACATATAGTTGTCATAATTTTTTGTTTGTTTTGAGATGGGGTTTCACTATTGTTGCCCAGGCTGGTCTCAAACTCCTGGGCTCAATGATCCTCCCACCTCAGCCTTCCCAGTAGCTGGAATTACAGGAATTTGCCACTGTGCGTGGCTTTTCATAGTATTTGAAAGACAAATGTTACATTGATTCTGTGGCCTCAGTGTACTGTTTACTCTATGCTAGGCACTGTGTGTTACTGTACACTGCAGTATATAAGTGGAATAGGTTATTATCTTTTTTTACAGATGAATAAGCTAAGAATCAAATTGGGAATCAACATCTTGTTCAAAATTATATAGCTAATAAATCATAGACCTGGGAGTATAAACTCAAGTATTTTTTATAATATTTTTAAAGTAATGCTTTTATTTCTGGAAAATACTTTCTTCCTTAACTGACATCTACCAAAAAAAGGCTTCAGTAATCTGGAATTCAGAATGAGCTTCTCCCCAGATATAGGGAAACACAAACTGTGTTACCCTTGGCCAGTGTTAACTTTCACTAGCTATTGGACACAGTTCTGCAACAGACTTCCATGATTTTTTTTTTGCTCCCCTTCTATCATTGCATGCAACTTACTTCTAGGATATTTGTCATTTAAGTAATAATAATGAAAAAAAACAGAATTGGGAACTGGAATTAATTACAAGTAAAACCTTTTCTTCTAACAGATAGAAGGAGAGAAGGATCATCAGGTGCGTTTGGCGGTTGGAAATGGTATGCGGAGTGATGTATGGAGACAGTTTTTAGACAGATTTGGAAATATTAAGATGTGTGAACTTTACGGAGCTACTGAAGGGAACATTTATTTTATGAACCACACTGGGAAAATTGGATCAGTTGGGAGAACAAATTTCTTTTACAGAGTAAGTACAGTATTTTCTTTTTGAAAGAAATACATCAAGGTCTGCTAACTCTCTTCTTTGTGCTTGTAAATTATGGTAAATATTATCACCTTTTTTTTTTTAACTTGAGAACTTCTATAAATAAAATGGTGGCTCTAGGTGAGAGATGGTGCTATGGGTCATGCAAACGCAATCATCTCCCATGGTTTCTCTCTATAACATGGGGATAACACTGTCTAGTTTTTTGTTCAGTTTTTAAATGTAATGACATACTGTATTAATGGCAAGCGTAAGTCCTGATATGTATTAATTTGACTCTTTCCATTTTCCTTGAGGATTTTCATTCCATTATTTCTACTTTTATCATTCGTATCATTCAAAAATTCTATAAAGGTTTTTAACATATATATTTTCTTAA